TTCACCAACCCCAATTTTGCGTATCTCCAGTGGATCAACTATGATCTTTATCCGTATCTTCAAATGCCTCAATGGTTTTGTCCTTCACTATCTCTGCAATCTCTTCCTATTTCCCTAGCCACTTCCTCCGCTCTACGAATTCCGGCCTGCTTCATGACCCTGCCTGCTCTATCCCACTATCCCCACCCTCCAGAACTCTCTCCCAAAATCCCTCTGCCTTTCCCCCTCTCTCGCTGCTTTCAAAATCCATTTCAATACATATCTTTGACTGCGTCAAAATCCATCTAGAAATTTCCAGACATATAAATCCATGTGCAATACAAGAGGTTGTAAAAAGACTGTAAAACAACATTATTTAGACACTTCAGTAAATAAATTTGTTTGGGAATATAGATATAAGAGGGGATTCAGAGGGATGGAGGCATGTTGTATTATTTTATCTAATAAAGGAGTATTGAAAAAAGAGCTGGAAAGCAGGATTAATAATAGGCATTTTAGAAAAACAGTGACAGATCCCTTCAGTTCTGTAAATATCACTAAAAACGTACATTTGACAAAAAAACAATTTTGTTGTTCTTATATTTCGGCTATTAAACCAAGTATTAACACAGGTCATGTACAATGTTTGAGCTTGATTAACATTTTTATTTCGAGTCAGAAAATTGTGGGTTCTGAATTCCATGTCGGGACGTTAAACTCAGTCAAAGCTAACACTCCAATGCAGCGTTGAGGGAGCACTGCTTAGTTGTGAAGGGCTGTCCTTTTGAAGAATGGTAGAATCAATCAACGAACTCTGATAAACAGCAAAGTTAAATTTGTGCAGCACCTTTCATGTAGGGGGGTCTCAAGGCGCTGGATAATCAGTGTTTGGGACCTGAGCTGGAGGTTGGGATCAGGGAGGGTGAAGCGCAGGGAAGAAGAGTGATCGAAGGCATAGTTGAAGAGGAGGGTCTTGAGACGGGTCTTGAAGAAGGCAAGGGAGGGGGCGAGGCAGAGGGACTGCGGGATTGAGTTTCAGAGGATGGGGGCATAGTGGCAAAAAGCCTGCCCGCCAATGGTGGAGCGGGCGAGGTGGGGATGTGAAGCAGGCCAGAGCCCGCTGAGCCGAGGGAGAGGGCAGGTTGATAGAGGGTTAAAAGGTCGCAGAGGTAGGGGGCAGCAAGGTCATGGAGGGCTTTGAAGGTGAGGACCAGAATCTTGAACTGTATTGTCTGTGTGATGGGAAGCCAGTGGAGTCAGGCAAGAATGGGGTGATAGGGTCACAGAGCCTGGTCCGGGAGAGGACATGAGCTGCAGAGTTCTGGATGACTTTCAGCCTATGGAGGGAGGGAGTTGGGGAGGCCCACAAGCAGGGAGTTTGCATAGTCGAGCCTGGATTTTATGAATGCGTGTGTGAGGGTCTTGGTGGCCTGCGATGTGATACAGTGGTGGAGCCGGGCGATGTTGCGGAGGTGGGAGAAGGCACAGTGAGTCATGGCATGGATGTGGGCTAGAAAGGATAGTTGAGGGTCAAAGAAGACACCAAGGTTCCAGACTGGCTTAGCAAGGTGGAGTGTGCAACCATGGATGGTGATGGTTTCAGCGCCTGAGGTGTGGAAACGCTGATGGGAGCCAATCAGGAGAGCCTCAGTCTTGTTGATGTTCAACTGTAGAAAGTTAGCTGTCATCCAGAACTTGATGTCTGACAGACATTCTGGAGGGAGAAAGCCCAAAGGGGGAGGAGTTCAGATGATTCCAAGGCTGGGGGTGGGGGAGATGGAGATGGGTTGGGTGGCGATGGGGAGAGGGATTGAGGAGTTAAGGAAGATAAAGTAATGCTCTGAGATGGCTTTGTCGGTGATGGTGAGGTCTGAGATGATGAGGCCCCGGGTGATCAACAGATCGAGGGAGTGATCGCGGATGTAGGTGATGGAGTGGATGTGGAGGGAAAGGTTGAGGAAGGAAAGAAGGGAAGAGAAGTTAGAAGAGGTAGAGCAGGAGGGGGTGAAGGTTGAAGTTGCCTAGGCTGAGGAGGCATTCGGAGCAGAGAGAGAGGGAAGATAGGAGGTTGTCTATGTCAGGGAGGAAGGTGAAAACATTCACACCTACATTAACTAATTGTTCTTCTTCAGATACAATTTTGCATTAATATAGTTCCTTTCTCTTCAGAAATACATCTCAAAGCGCCTCACAGAGTCAACTGGGAGCCAGAGCTTGGGGAGGAAGGAGTCGAGAAAAGGTCTAAATAGCTCCAGGTCTGCCGATGTGTCTGGTAGCTTGTCTGGCAGACCTTAGGGTCAGGATAGGTGCAAACTTCCTGCAGCTGAATGTGGACAAGACGGAAGCCATACCCCTTGGCTCCCATCAACATCTTCACTCATGCGGATCTGAACTCCTCAACCTCCCTGGGATCTCCCTCGCACTCACTGAACCAGTGTGCGATCTGGACATCTGGTTCGACCCCCTGCTGTCCTTTCTCTCCCACATCTGGTCTCTGACCAGGACCGCTTTCTTCCACCTCTGCCACATTGCCCACCTCTGACTGTACATTACTCCAAATGTAGCTGAAACCCTTGTAAATGCATTTGTCATCTCCCACCTGGATTGCTCAAATGCACTCCTCGCTGGTCTCCCCAGCTCTGCTATTCAAAAGATCCCGCTCATTCAGAACTCTGCTGCCCCCATACTGACCCGGACCAAACTCCATACCCACATCTCACCAGTTCTGGCCCGGCTCCACTGGCTCCCCATCACCCTCCGCCCACCAGCAGAGGTTACACTTTCACCCCGAAACTGTGGAACACCTTCAATGCCTCCGCCTTGCCCCCTCTTCACTTTTTCAAGGACTGCCTGAAAACCTTCTTCTTTGACGGTGCTTACGGCACCCCTCCCCCACTCACCCCGGCTCGAAGTCAGGCTCCGCCACTGAAAACTGAGAGGTTACCCTATGTGGAGGGCGCTATATAAGTGTAAGTTGTTGCTGTAAGGTGACCAAAAAACATGGTCGAATAGGTGGTAAGGTAAGCTTCAAAGATGGGAAGGATGGAGTTCCATAGTGTAGAGGGAAAGCTGAACAACAGCAAATTTGCACATTTTTATTTTTAATAACTCCTGATTTTTTTCCCCCATCTGCATTTGTTTGTACCATGCCAAGTCATTTTTAAACCTTCTCTCCTGACCCTCCTTTCTGCACATCTGCTTGGCCTAAGTAGCACAGGCTGTAATATATTATTATTATTATGATTAGCAAGACTGTCCTTTGCAGAATTTGCTTTTCCCTCTCTGACATCTATCTGAGTGATCTAATTCCCATTCCCCACTTATAATAATCCTTATCATCCTTGCCTGTGATATAGTACCTTATCACGTCTTCGAGACGTCTCAAAGCGCTTCACAGAATATACTGTAAAGTGTAGTGACTGTATATATTGTGGCCGAAACGCAGCAGCCAACTGGGCACAGCAGAGCCCTACAAACAGTGGTGGATTGAAGTGACCAAATTGTTATCAATTAAAGTTTGAAGCTGTTTCAGCCTTTGGTGATGACTATGGGGGGGGGGGGGATGGGTGTGTGGGGGGAATGTGTGTGTGTGTGTGGGGGGGGGGAATGGGTGGGTGTGTGGGGTGTGTGTGTGGGGGGGGATGTGGGGGTGGTGTGTGGGGGGTGTGGGGGGGGGGATGGGTGTGTGTGGGGGGGGATGGGTGGGGGGGATGGGTGTGTGTGGGGGGGGGATGGGTGTGTGTGGGGGGGGATGGGGGGTGTGGGGGGGGTGTGTGTGTGGGGGGGGGTGTGGGGAGGGGTGTGTGTGTGTGGGGGGTGTGGGGGGGGGTGTGTGTGTGTGGGGGGTGTGGGGGGGGGTGTGTGTGGGGGGGGTGGGGTGGGGGTGTGTGTGTGTGTGGGATGGTGTGGGTGGGGGTGTGTGTGTGTGGGGGGGTGTGTGTGGGGGGGGTGTGGGGGGTGTGTGTGTGGGGGGGGGGTGTGGGGGGGGGTGGGTGGGGGTGGGTGTGGGGTGTGTGGGGGGGGGTGGGGTGGGGGTGTGTGTGGGGGGGGTGTGGGGGGGGATGGGTGTGTGTGGGGGGGGATGGGTGTGGGGGGGGTGGGTGTGTGTGGGGAGGGGGGATGGGTGTGTGTGGGGATGGGTGTGGGGTGGGGGGGGGTGTGTGGGTGGGGGGGGTGTGGGGAGGGGTGTGTGTGTGTGGGGGGGGTGTGGGTGGGGGTGGTGTGTGTGTGGGGGGTGTGTGTGGGGGGGGGTGTGTGTGGGGGGGTGTGGGTGGGGGGTGTGTGGGGGGGTGTGTGGGGGGGTGGGTGGGGGTGGGTGTGGGGGGTGTGTGTGTGGGGGGGTGTGGGGGGTGTGTGTGTGGGGGGGTGTGTGTGGGGGGGGGGTGTGGGTGGGGGTGGGTGTGTGTGGGGGGGGGGTGTGGGGGGGGGTGTGTGTGGGGGGTGGGTGTGTGTGTGGGGGGGGGGTGTGTGTGGGGGGTGTGTGTGGGGGGGGGGTGGGGTGTGTGTGGGGATGGGTGTGAGTGGGGGGGTGTGGGTGGGGGGGGGGGGGTGTGGGGGGGGTGTGTGTGTGTGGGGGGTGTGGGTGGGGTGTGTGTGTGTGGGGGTGTGTGTGTGTGGGGGGGTGTGTGGGGGGGGTGGGGGGGGGTGTGTGGGGGGGTGTGGGGGGGGGGTGGGGGGTGTGGGGGGGTGGGTGGGGGGGTGTGGTGGGGGGTGTGTGTGTGGGGGTGTGTGGGGGGGGGTGTGTGGGGGCGGTGGGGGGGGGGGGTGTGGGGGTGTGGGGGGGGGTGGGTGTGGGGGGGCGTGGTCACTGAACACCCTGACATCACAATCACTCAGTTTCAGACAAGGTCAGTGACCAGGCTCACTGACGCACGCGCAGTACTTCCACATCGACTGACGCAGCAGGCGCATGCGCAATTTATCCCATCGGCTTCAGCACAAGCGGCGCGTCCTGCGCTCTCAGCCCCGCCTCGCGTGAGGCGGGCCGCCGCTAACCGGAAGCGCGGGGGTTGCCCGGGGAACGTTTCCGGTACCGGGGATGGGAGTGTTGACGCCGATCATCAGAGAGAGGTACAGCATGTTATATTATATTATAATAACACAGCACATTATAGCATTATATTGCACTATATTACACTACAGCACATTATATTACATTATATTACACTATAGCACATTATATTACATTATATTACACTACAGCACATTATATTACATTATATTACACTGCAGCACATTATAGGACATTATATTTCACTATAGCACATTATATTACATTATATTACACTACAGCACATTATATTACATTATATTACACTACAGCACATTATAGGACATTATACTACACTGCAGCACATTATATTACATTATATTACACTATAGCACATTATATTACACTACAGCACATTATATTACATGATATATCCTGCAGCACATTATAGCACATTATATTACACTACAGCACATTATATTACACCACAGTATGTTATATGACTACATTATACCACAGTATATTAGTATGTCATTAGGCTAGTTATCAGAGTGAGGTACTATATCTCAGACCAGGGATGGTTAGCAGAATGCGGTTCTCTACCTCAGAGTAGGGCTGGATTTCAGAGTGAGCAGCTGGACCCAAAGAGACTGGATTTCATTTCAAACTTTAGATTTTGTTTCATACTTCAGAGAACCTGAAGGGCTCTACAGAGTTCTGCTTTCTGGTTGGTTTTGTACATTTTCAGCATGGGTTTTTATGCTCAAAATAAATATTACTGCAATAAAGTTGATATTACCTAAGGAAAGCTTTATTTATGTAATATTAACCCTACCTTCGTCTCGCTCCCTCCCTTGCATCGTTCGAGGAACGCCTCAGGAATCTCCTTCGACAGTGCCTTCGGCCACCCTCCTACCCTCTGCCCTACACTCTCCCTGATCCCAATTCCCCCCTCCCCCCCGCTCGTGTCCAAATCCCTGACTGTTCAGCACCTTGGGACGTTCTCCCGACGTGAAAGGCACTTTACAAATGTAATTTTGTATTGTAATGTACTAAAAAAAATATTTTAGGTGAGCCTATTGTCTGGCCCATTACCATCCTTAAGAGTATCCAATATCCATGCTGTAAAGTGAGGTTGATACTTTGGAATTTTACAAAATTTACAGGTTTATTTGTAATTTTTTGCAAGTACTGAATAACGATTATTTTATGTTAAGATTAGAGAAAATAATGGGGGCCTAAATTATATGGTATTATTAAAATGAAAAAACAGCTTTTTCTGATTTTGGTGCTAAAATTTTACTATATATGAAACAGGTTAAAAAGCTAATTAAAATTACAGGTACAGAATCTGCACAATAGGGAACCATGTAATTTATTTTGCCAGTGAGGGATGAAAGTGAGTAAAATTTCAAATAAACAATGAGTTGCATTTATATAGTGTCCCAGAGCGCTTGACAATGGCAAAGCACGGTGCCGAGCTGGGGGGAGAGGGAGGTGACCTTAGGCACGATCAAATAGGAAAGTATTCAGGAGTGACCTGAAGGTGGCGAAGGAACGGGCAAGGCGGAGGGATAGAGGAAGAGTGTTCCAGAGTTTCAGGGAGTAGTGGCTGAAAGCGCAGCCACCAATGGTGGAAAGGAGGACATGCAGAAGGCTGGAGCTATTTGAGAAGAGGCAGCGGGTTGTGGGTTGGGGGTAAGTAAGTCGGAGAGATGGGGAGGTGCCAGGGCATGGAGGGATTTGAAAACGAGTGTGAGCATCTTGAAATTGATTTGTTCAGCGATAGAGAGCCAGTGAAGTCTGGCTAGAACTGGTGCGGAGTTTAGTACGGGTGAGTATGCGGGTGGAGGAGTTTTGGATCAGTTGGATCCTGTGCATGGGGGAATTGGGGAGACTGGCAAAGAGGGCATTTAAGAAGTCAAGTCGGGAGGTGACGAACACATGGACCAGTGTTTCGACTGAATCTAGGATAAGGTACGTCCCGGGCAGGCAATGTAGTGGCGGTAGGCGGTCCTGGCCAGGGACCGGATTTGGGGAAGGAAGGACAGCTGTGGGTAAGTCAGGTCAACAACAACAACAAGATTCCATTTATAAAGCGCCTTTCACGTCAGGAGGACGGTCAACAGTTAAATAAAGAAAAGTATTATGGACATCACATAATAATAATTTTTATAATCTTTACATTTATACATGCAGCAATTGAGTCCGTAGTTGGCTTCAATATCACTGTTAAAGTTTCCCTGCGTTGCTGTCTGAGCAACAACATTTTGGATTCAGAAAAATAGAGACCATGTTCTGTATCAAATAACATCTGGTCCTGCTTCTCTTGACATCACATCCGGCTTGCAAACCAGTTGACTTCATGTGCAAGCGTACAGAATGCAGGAAACCAGACAGTCAGCTGTTACTTCTCCTGTGAGTGTTTGGAACGCTAGACACCTGAGAAAGACCGGTGATGGCTGACTTGCTGGCTTCCTGCACAATATACGTAGGAAGCAGTCGTTCTTTGTCTTTCTTCAGCAGATGCTTCCTTGCTCTTTCAATTTTTTTCTGCCCGCCTATCTATGTTTCTCCTAATTTCGGAGGTTAACGTACATTGTTTGAGCATCTATAGTACATTGGGCAAGTTTCCTTACTCCACACAGAGCCTAATAATAATCCCTCCAAAACCAAAACAATAATAAATTGGTCATTTTCAATCTACGACTGTTTGTGGGACATTGCTGTGCGCAATTGGCTGCCACGTTCGCCCACAAATATACAGTCAATTCACTTTACAGTGTGTTCTGTGAAGCGCTTTGGGACGTTCTCCCGACGTGAAAAGCGCTATATCAAATGCAAGGATTATTATTATTATTATTATTGTACCTGATCTGTCATAGGTATTTTTTATTCATATACTTTTAATTTATTAGATGCCAGCTTCATTGAAAGTGCTCTGAAACACCGTGTGGCATGAAGGACGCTAAAAAATGTATGTTGTTGTACTGCACTTCTGGCAAAGTGGAGGTCAGTAGCAGAGGAGCAAACTCACGTTCTGGTGAGGCACTTATTAGGGTAGCCTGTCCTTAAGCACTGACAAATCAGTTTTGAATTTTCTCCCCTCTCAAGTGAAGATCACCAACACAAGGAATATAAAACATAATTTTTGCATAGCATAAGCACATTTGTACTTCCCTCATGAAATCGTCATTTTACTATCCAGTTCCCATTTCTGCCACGCTTTAACAAAAAGTATAAGGTGCAGAAAGAAAGGGAAGTGTTGGGCCAGGGATTGGGGATTGGGGCTAGAGTTTAAGAAGTGGTAAGGTTGTTCTGGGAGCTTTTATTATTTCTTCCTGAAACCCAGCTTTCCTCAGCTCTCATTGTGCCTCGTCTACTGATGACTGAACTTTCTTTTTATACAACACTGAAGTGCGAAAGAGCTGATGGACTCTGAAGAGCCTGAGCTGCAGTACGTCAGCCTTACATTATAAATTACCTGTAGGGAATGAAAATAAGATGTAAAACCAGTTTAATTTTGATTTCAGTTGGGCAACATTTTGAATATATTTTCCACAATAATGTTTCTAAAATAATATTTTCTGTACAAAGTTAATAGGAATATGTTTTAGATTTCATTTCTCAGTGTTCTCAGCTTCTTAGGTCACTTTAGATTTCAGCTTTTTTTGTCTCCTACCTTGAAATTTCCTAAGATGCTCATTTTTCTATTCATCTATTCTAGATTACAATTTCTTTGTCTTCAGCAGATGCTTCCTCACTCTTTTCAATTTTTTCTGCCCTTATATCTATGTCTCTCTTGATTTAGGAGGTTATTGCACATTGAGCATCTGCCTTATATTATACCTGATCTTTCATAGGTATTTTTTATTCATATATTTTGAACTATAAAGCTCAGTGGTTGTAGCCAGTGGTTAGAGCACCCACCTGGGTTCGATTCCCAGCAGGGCTAAATGTTGGGAAGGTTCCTAACTCCACACGCCTCTGTTTACCTAGTAGTAAGAAGGAACCCGGTTGTTAGTTGATTGGCAAATTGCTTTTCCAGGGATAATGTTTCCTTCAAAAAAATAATAATAATAAATCGGTCACTTCAATCCACCACTGTTTGTGGAACATTGCTGTACGTAATTGGCTGCTGCGTTTCACCCACAAAATATACAGTCAATTCACTTTCTGTGAAGCACTTTAAACGTCTCAAAGACGTGAAAAGGCGCTTTATCAAATGCAAGGATTATTATTATGTAATTTATTAGGTGCCAGCTTGGCTAATTTGATAACACTCTTTCCTCTGCATCAGAAGGTTGTGGCTTCAGAACCCACGTCAGGATTTTGAATGCGCATAGTCCAGCTATTATTATTATTATATAACCAATGTTATATTGGGGTTGTGCTGAAATGTTAGAATTGCCAGCCTTGGATAAGACATAAACCCAGGACACCATCCACCTGAACAAGTAAACCAACAATCCCATAAATAAAATTGGTCATTCACTTCTTAGTTGCTTCTGGGGCGTTGCATTCTGGGCACAATGTGGCTGCAGCATTGACTTGCAAACTACACTTTACAATAAATCTTCTGAAGCTCTTTGATTTGGCCTCCTGTGTGAAAGGCACTTTATAAAATGCAGAGTTTTTTTATTTCAAAATGTTCACATGAAGGGAATGTTGTGAACAGGTTGCAAAGAGAAGAGGGAACGTCAAACTCCCTTTATATCCTAGGTCAATAAAATTGAATATCTGTGTGTTACAAGCTGTCCAAATTAAACATTCAGATAATTATGTGAGCTAAAATCTTGCACAAATAATTTTAAGATGCGCATCAACACATCAATTATTAATGCGTATGGGATATTTGTTTTCCCATTCAAAGTTCACAAATATAATATTGCCATCATTCTACAAGGTAATTTCCACTAGGGATACTGTGTTTTAAATAAATATTCAGGTCGTAAGGTGTCAGTTCAGTAAGGTGATCGTTCCTCCCACTATTTTGTTATTAATATTTATTATTATTATTATGCAGAAGGGCTCCTGAACTCCATTTAGAGTCCATGACTAGTTTCCAGGTTTCCACGTTTTTTAGTAAACAACAAGAAGAACAAAATTACATTTGTACAGTGCCTTTCACATCGGGAGGACACCCCAAGGCAGTCAGTGCTTCGGACCTGAGCTGGGCGTCAGGTTTGGGGAGGGTGTAGGGCGGGGGGGAAGCAGGGTGATTGAAAGCACGGTCGAAGAGGAGGGTCTTGAGATGGGTCTTGAAGGAGGCAAGGGAGGGGGCAAGGCGGAGGGACTGCTGGATGGTTGCCAGTGGGTGGGGGCAGAGTGTCAGAAGGCCCGCCCACCAATGGCGGGGCAGGGGACGTGAAGCAGACTGGAGCCTACTGAGTGGAAGGCGCGGGCAGGCTGGTAGGGAATTAGGAGTTCGCAGAGGTAGGGGAAAGCAAGGCCGTCGAGGGCTTTCCTGTGTGATGGGAAGCCAGTGAAGTTGGACGAGAATGGGGGTGATAAGGTCATGGAGCCTGGTGCTGGAGGTGACACAGGCTGCAGAGTTCTGGATTATCTACAGCCTATGGAGGAGTTGAGGAGGCCGACAAGCAGGGAGTTTGCATAGTCAAGCCTTGATGTTATGAATGCGTGTATGAGGGTTTTGGCAGCCTACGGTGTGAGACAGTGGGGCAGCCGGTCGATGTTGCAGAGGTGGTGGAAGGCAGAATGGATCATGGCATGGATGTGGGGTAGAAAGGATAGTTGAGGGTCAAACAAGATGCCAAGGTTTCGGGCTGGCTTAGCAAGGTGGAGTGTGCATCCATGGATGGTGATGCCTGAGGTGTGGAGGAGCTGATGGGACCCAATAGGAGAGCCTCCGTCTTGTTGACGTTCAACTGAAGAAAAGTATCTCTCATCCAGGACTTGATGTCTGAAAGAACAAAAANGTAAACAACAAAAAAAGACAATCCATGAGCTAGAAGTCCAATTTTGTGAGCCCAGCTTTTCAGACCAAGAATATGTCTTAGAATCTAACTATGTTGACATGCAGGATTAGTACCTTAAACCTCAATATTAATCCTTTGTGTACGATACAGCACCTTTCGTGTTCGGAAGATGTCCCAATACGCTTCACAGAATTTATTGCGAAGTGTAGTGACTGCATTTTATAGGCGAACGCAGCAGTTAATTTGCGCACAGCAATATCTCTCAAACAGTCTTGAAGTTTTGAACCAATGTGCATATTTCTGACAGCATCTATGGACAGAGGAAAGTGAGTTAATGTTTCAGGTCGATGACCATTCTGACAAAAGATCATCGACCTGAATTGTTAACCAATGTTACCTGCTGATTATGCTCAGTGACTTCTGTTTTTATTTCAGATTTCCAGCATCTACAGTATTTTGCCTTTTGTGCATATTTCCTGTGGTGTTTATATAAAAAATTAATTGTCATAATTTTAGTTATCACCATGTGCTTTTCTCCTTAATGTTTTAATGTGTATTTTGTACACATTAGTATATTTTGTATAAATTGTATTGAAGTTAAGATTGTTTTGACTACTCAGAACAACAAACTTTTGGTATCTTAAATGTGTGAACTGGGAGATTTTTTCCAATGTTACCTCAGCGCTGTGTGAGAGCTTTGCATGCAAAGCGTGACGGCCCCTTAGTGCTGAGGAATGCCTTGTGTTGTTTGCAGTTTAGACTGACAATCACAGGCTTCATTTTTTTGTTTAAATGCTGACAATGAATGAGTTATGGATCCCCACTGTTTGAGAAAGCTGAATTGACATCGGTAGATACAGTTGTCAATTTAGATGTTTCAATGATCAAATCATTTCAGTTATGTATGTTAATCCAGCTTTCTCTCAGTCCCAAGGTCAGTTATTTTCTACCAGCCAGTTCTTCTAATGATGTCACCGGCACTCCTTACGTTAGCAGAATACTAAAGGAAAGTATTAAAAAAAGAAAAAATTAAGCCTGGCAAAAAGAATTAACCTGCAAAAAGAGAATTGATCTAAGCGTGTTGCCAATGTGCATTTACATTTGAATAGTACCTTTGCCATGTGCTGCGGGTATCTATTTGTTTTTGTGGGGCTTGAACTTTCAACTCTTTTTTAAATTCCTGGTTGGAGATCAGCATGGCAGCCTCTACGATGTGTTTTGAAAAAAGGTTTCTCTTGCCTTCCAAAATGGCTAGTGAAAGTTGGAATACAGAAGAGCACAAAATAGAGAATACCAAAAATTATTTAAAATAAAAAAGAAGAGAAAATAGGGATAGAATAAAAGGTAATTTTGTACAGGTAAAATTTTGAAAGATTTACTTTTACATCTCAGTTGTTTTCTGTTTCAATAACATTCATATTTTATTTTAAAAAACAACACAATACTCAATCATCACACTTCACAGGTGTGTTTTGCTCTGGAGATAAGATTCATTCATTTAAAAAGGCCCTTTGACCCATTTGATCTCATCCTTCCAGATTACCCAGCCTACAGTTTTTCTACCACAGCATGAGAATACCTTGCATTTGTGTATATCAAACTTCATTAGCAACACACCAGCCCATATACACGTGGAGTCCTGTAGCTCAGTGGTTAGAGCACTCGCTTTGCAAGTGAGAGACCTGAGTTCAATTCCAGGCAGGGCCAAACCTTGGGCAAGTTTCCTTACTCCACACCCTAATAATAATCCCTCCAAAACCCCAAACAATAATAAATTGGTCATTTTCAATCTACGACTGTTCGTGGGACATTGCTGTGCACAATTGGCTGCCGCGTTCGCCCACAAATATACAGTCAATTCACTTTACAGTGTGTTCTGTGAAGCGCTTTGGGACGTTCTCCTGACGTGAAAAGCGCGATATCAAATGCAAGGATTATTATTATTATTATTAAAGAGTGAATTAATAACATGGAGATCCTGTGGGCCCATGGCGATGAGAGGTGTAGGACTAAAGATTTGTCCTTTTTAATTTTTTCAAGAGTTACTGACTGCAACTCTAAATTTTAACATAGTTCTGGTACGTTTACCTCAGTTATTTTCAACATTATAGGTACACTTGAAATGCCTTAGGTCAAATCAGACTAATCAGCTCAAGTCTCATTACACTCCTATGGATTAAATACTATATCTTTGGAACCGACGTGAAGAAGCTTTAGTTAAGCGACAGATTGCTGTTAGAAAAGGGTTGACCTGCTTCAGCCAAATAGACCCCAGTATCAGCCAGATAGACCTGTGTCTACATGCAAGCAGGAATAGATAATGGTGCTTTGTTTCAATTTGAAATGTACAACAGAATGGTGGTCTACATCAGTATGGTTGTTTAGAAAAAACAAAACATGCTGCTAGTTCAGGTAGGATTTTAAACCTTATTTTTATTACCTCCAGGATTCTGCAGGAGAGCAGTATGGATCTTGGAAAAGCAAAACTTCTGCGAACTGGTATCAATGCGTTGCATCAAGCCCTTCATCCAATTCATGGGATAGCTTGGACAGATGGCAAGCAAGTTGCTCTCACTGTTGTTTGTTTGGTCAATGGTGAGGTAAAGTTCGGAGACAGTAATGTTATTGGATGTTTTGAACACGTTCATGGTCTGTATTGGGGTTCTGTCTGCTGCACAGGGGCTCTGGCACTGCTTGCTGTTCAGCATAAGAAACACATCACGGTCTGGCAGCTGCAGCACAGTACACTGGAGAACAACAAGCTTTTGGTGTCTCAAACATGTGAACTCGGAGAAATTTTTCCAATACTGCCTCAGGGCTGTGTGTGGCATCCAAAAAGTGATGCCCTTGTGGTGCTGACAAAGAGAGATGCCTCAGTGTTGTTTGCAGTGCAGACTGACAACCGTAGAGTTAAAGCAGATATCAAGGGGAGCGGTTTAATTCATTGTGCATGCTGGACTAAAGATGGCAATCGTTTAGTGATTGCTATAGGCAGTACCCTACATTCTTACATTTGGAATGATTCTCAGAAGACCCTTAATCCATGCAATTTCTGTCCTATTTTTGATGTTGGAGGATATATCTGTGCAATAGAGGCTAGTATGGATATGCAAGTGGCTGTGGCAACTGAACTGCCCCTTGATAAAATCTGTGGTCTGAATGCTGGTATGGCCTTTGATGTCACGGGGGAAATGGGATCATTGATGTCCCGGTCCTCAGTAATAACTGTGGATGAAGATTGCTCTATGGAGGTAAGAAGGAGATCGATCGATTCTGAAAGGTCTTTGGCAGCAGATTCTATAATTTCATCATCGTCATCAGCCTGTCCCATAGAGCTAACCCACCTTCTGGCAAATCATCGGAAATCTGATCCTAGTCCACTTATTCACCTAAAACGGAGGGACAGCCTTACTGGAAGTGGTCATGACTCTTCACACCTGATTTTGGTAACCTTTGAAAGAAAGGTAACAACAACTAGAAAAGTAAGTGTCCCTGGGATTCTAGTCCCTGACATTATAACTTTTGACTCATGTGGACACACAATCGTAGTAGCATCCAACAGTTGCAACACAATTTTGGTCTATTCAGTAACCCCATCAAGTATGCCCAATATTCAGCAAATTCACTTGCAGAAAAATGAGCGGCCAAAGGGCTTGTGTTTTCTGACTGAAAAAATATTATTGCTTTTGATTGGGAAGCAGAAATCAAATGATCCTGCTTTTCTCCCCTCTTCCAATTCCGATCGATTTTTAATCAGGCTTATGACGAAAAAACTGGTGGCCAATGATCCTGAATTATCAGAATCTTATCAAACTGGACAATCTGCTATCAACATCCCTGGAATGAGAAAGTATTTTGAAAATCTGTCCAAAGAAGAGCAAATTGCAGGAAGGGAGCTTTTACTGCCAGGAAGTACCATCATTCAGTCACCCAGTGGTAGAAGGAGACTAATAGAAGAAGTCAGGAGTGCCATTGGTGAAGAGATCCCAGAAATGAGCAGTCCAGAGATGTTAGACGGCTCCACACCCTGTGACTCTTCAGTGACTTTAGCAAGCTTTGATGCAGAACCTATAAATCGCTCTGTGACTATTCTTGGACGAGCTGGCACACCAAACAGAGATTTGAATAGTCCAGTCAATCCCAAGGAAGATGGAAGGAGACTGTCTCATGCATCTATTTCGTCAAAGAACGGTGATTTTGCAAATGAAAAAATAGAACACATGTCAAGGAATATGGAGCAGTTATATGGAAGCTTTTCGGAAATGAAGCAATGCATCTCTCAAATATCAGATTACACAAGAAATGGGAAGAAGTCAATGGTGACCTATCCATCTGCATTTGAGCCTCCTTTTATTTATATCTTCTGTCAGGTAATTTCTTTCTTCAGGATGCTGCAATTGCAGTCAAAATACGATGGTCTAAGTCCTTAGCTTTTGCCCTTAATTGTTGCAGAAGGACAGCTAAATGGTTAGCCTTTCCTTTCTGTAATTAAAGCTTTTGAATTTTTTTNCCAAATCTTTGCAGCAGTGTTGCTAGAAGTTTAATAAAGTATAATGATGAAAATGTGATGTTTTCATATCTCTGAAAAACATGTAGGCCTTTATTTTTCCAAATACAGATTGCTTCTGGTGAGAGCATTTTGATTTGTAAATACTGAAGACGGATGAGAGCAATATGAAGTGAAGAATTAAGAAATGACACAAGAAGTCAATCGCAAATTTAAGAGCACTAACTAAACTAAGAGCACTAACTACCCTAAAAAAACATAGAAACAAGACTGCTTCAGTACTTTGAAGATGCTAAACGTAATTGGAGAACAGACTTTATAGGATTTCTGTTTTATATATTCAGGACTGTTAAGTGTTTTTTATTATTAAGAATAGAGAGTGTATTGGTTCTAAATTTACTACTGCATTATTCTAAATATGAAGAATACTTTTGATATTGTTGTATACTATCAGTCCACATATACTTAATATGTACCTGATATTATTTGGATACATACTATATAAAGAAAGTCCTGACAGTTCTATCTTTTATTCAAATAGGAATTAGTCATCACTTATTAATAAGTCATTTAAATTTAAAACGGACATAATTTTTATTTAAGATAATGGATGATTCATTACATCTCTTATGGTCAGATGGAAAGAAACTAAATGTTATGTTGGGACACCTGGCTTTATTCCGGTGGGCTGACAGAGGAGAAAATATTCTAATCTTTGTGCTTCACCTGTCCCTGAATCATCGACTGGGTCATTGATGAGTGTCAGCAGAATCAGAGAATACGTTAGCCACAAAATAGATTATAGCAAGAACAGAGAATACATCAGTATCAAGACAGATTATGGCCTTTCAAACCCCACAGATCCTCTGATGGAGGAGGGTATTATTGGCTTTCATGAAAATATCTATGCCAATATGCATACTATAAACACCCTGATATTGACTGTGCTGCATATATATATATATATGCTGATAGACTGGTACAGTACAAATCTAGAAGCCAGCCAGGGTTCACTGAAAATCTTTCTTTGGAGGTTCAAGAGCAACATCCAGTTTTCCTATTGCCATTATAATGGTATTAATACTTTAAGTATTTAAACTGAGGCCCAGTACTGTGTTCTATAAATACCACAGAACACAAATATATAAGATTAAAACACAGATAGTGTTAAAATAGCATACTTTAATGAAATATATTATTGCCCATATTTTTCTAAGTGAATAGAACTATTGCAACGCTGAAAAGAGATATTTTTCAGAACATATTCTGAAAATATAGAATATATGAATACAGAACTGAAGAATACAATATGAAGTTTTAGTGAAATTAATGTGGAAGCAAACTTTGAAATAAATAGTTTGTGTTAGAAGACAACCTCCTGATTAGTAGAGTGCGAGGGGAAATTTTTTAAAAAAAATTCTGAAGCAAGCATGGGTCACTTTTCTGCACTGTCTGGAATTCACCTTCACAATTTTTAGACTACTTTGGTGATGTAATTGACGAGAAAGAACCTTGTGCACCTCAAAGCGGCTTCATTGAACTTAAGAGGAATGGGAGCTTTAGACAAGCCTGGGATCTTAGAGCTCTGGCCCCAAAGAAGCCAGCTGGGTATTCTTGCATATTATCATAACCACCGTTACCAGTTTAAGTCTATTTTCTTATATCTGATCCAGATCCATCTTCAGTGACATCCATTTCAGTCACACGTTACACTCTGCTGCTACCATTAGGTTGGGTTGATTTGTTTTCAAACTCTATTTGTTGCATTTAGAGCAACTTCTGGTTTGCAAACATTGGAAGCCATTTTATTTATGTAATTTGTAAAAGGACCTCCAGAATTTGCAGGTAAATTAAATGGCTTCTAATATTTAGAAACCAAGAGGTGCAATTATTGCAAAAAAAATGGGTTTTGAATATTCCCAGTTAAATTCCAATGTCTCCATTTAGAATGACTGCTGATACAGTATATTGCAGTTTAAATTGGTCTGTTGTAGAACTTACATCACACAACAACTTGGGAGAAAATCTTTTTTCAGGATTTTCAGGATCCATGTTTATATGCACATTCATTCTGTATTTAAAAATATAACTTGCACCTTAGGACTTGAGTCTGTTGACAATAATGGATCCTGGTGTGATTTGTAGTGGTGGTGATGTGTCTATTTTAAATTCAGAATATTATATGCTGTTTTTCTTAAAATAACTGGATTTATCTGCTAGAAGTTGTCTTAATTTGTGTTTTTAATTCACTTGCTGTAAGCATTTACCTTTGTGTTAAACCTACACCAGAATATTTATCCTGTAGTGAGTATCTCTCTCAGTGCACTTAACATCTGGACTGTTTTATGCACATGGTTACAAGTTGTCATAATAATTATTGATACTCAGAATATCTGTACAATCACTGTTTGAAGGCAGCAATTTGTTTTATTTTCTACATAAAAGCTGGGCTTTCCTGATGTTGTTTGCGTCAGTGACATCGTTTGTCATTGAATTAATGTATTGCTCCACAGAATTCTGACATTTGACCTGTACACAATGAACTCTGGTTCTCACTTAGGTCGTACAACAACAACTTGCATTTTATAGTGTCCTGCACGCAGGGTACCGTACCGGAGCGCGCAATAATGGCGGTGCCTGACATGGAGCCCGGGGGGCAGGTGACCGCAAGCACAGTCAAAAAGGAAGGTCTTCAGGCATGATCTGAAAATGGGAAAGGCGGAGAGATTGAGGAAGAGAGTTCCAAGGTTTCAGGAGGCAGTGCCTGAAATCACGGCCACCAATAGTGGACTGGAGGGGAAGAGGGATAAGCTGTAAGGGGAAGTGCTGAACAGATCTGCTCCCTGAGCGAGAGAGAAGCTTGAGCAAGTCAGTCATCACAATTCCCACTTTCTAGCACCTACTTCATGAAAGATATAGGCAGACACTTATGAGTAATCTATCTATCTTCCTGTTTTCTTGATTGCGAAATAATGCTTTTCATTTCCACATATATGCGTGTGTGTATGTGTGGCTATTTGTGGGGCATTGCTGTGTGGAATTGGGCTGTCGCGTTTGCCTATAAATAAAGTCACTCCCAAGACGCTACGCAGGTGAAGGGCACTATGTAACTGGAAGTTGTTGATGTGTGTATGTGGAAAGGTGTGAAATGTCAGAGAGAAACTAAGCTTAAAGACGGGTTTTACATTTTTTTTAAATTTCTTCAATTAACCCAGGACAGGTATAATGAATAAGAAAGTTCTTCAAAACCAACTTCTTTAAAATTAACTTCTTCTCAGGAACATATTTTTGTATCAATTATTTTGGTGTGTTTTGTGCTCAAGTTAGTGGATGTCTGTGCTGGAGAATGAAATATACAGTATTGAGATCCAGTATTCAGCAAATATCAACCACTTTCAGGTGAACACCATGGGTAAGAAGATGGAGGGTAAAATCCATTCCACACCAATAATGTATCTTAACTCCAGTTTCTTTCAGGTAACATGTGCACTGTGTCCCAAATGAACTGTAACATTTCCATGTGCGACCATCATGGCTTGTACTAAAGAGATACCCACTCTAGTGCAAAATTCTGAGCAGTTGTGCATAACAGGCATTTAATGCAGTTCCTAGTGGATTAAACTATTTTGCTCAAACTCATTTTGCTTAGTGCACAACTCTGTTGAAGGGAGAAGACTTTCATCCTGTTTAGTCTGTGCTGGGTGAAATGTATGCTGCAATGATTATTCCAAAAATAATAAATCTGCATCAGGGTTCTATAAAATAGTTTATTAAATTATTACAGTTTAGTGCATTTGAATGAGAATTATTTGCATATAAAGAATTGATACTGTAATACTTAACATTGCCTTGAATCTAAATTCTTTTTTTAAGAAAAAGCTGCTCGAAAATACAGTAGTGGATGAAAAACGAGTCTTTCTTCTTTGTGAAGGCAAGCTTCGACTGAGTATGATCCAAGACATTTTCAATCTATGTGTTGTTGAAATGTTTCACGGTAAGTATTTTTTATTTGTAAATCGGAAATGTAATGTGCTTTTTTTCAGTAACTGGGAAAGCATTATAATTGAAAGCTGAGCATTGCAGAAAAGCCTTCGTGCATTTGATGGTTGTGTCATGGGGTGTAGTCATCCTGTACTTCCTTGTGGCTCATTTCTGACATTAACTGTGGTAATTGGGAAATAGTATAATTTTGTTGTTCTCACACATAAGTGGGTTGTCTTCTCAATAAAAGGAATGAACACAGGAAGGGGGGAAACATTTAAACAAATACATGACATAGAGTATAAAGGGGCAAAAATACTATTCTGTTTTCTTGCTTATGTAATTTATTTTACTAATAAAACATAGTAATAGTTATCTGTGATCTCCTGCGTAATTGTGCTTCCCATTTGCTTGAAAGATCACTGCTAAGCACAATTTGAAAGAAAAAACACTTATTTCAATCCATAATTCTACAGATAGATGTACGTGCAATGGTTATTTTCAGGTGAGGATCATTTTTCAATACTACAAACATTTTTTTGAAAAAAATCTTTATTGAGATTAACATTTAGAAAAAATTGTGGTGATTTATGGACTTGAATAGTGTACTGAAATAGTATTATATGAACAAATGCTGGGTGCTACCTAAAAAATACACTGCACTTTACAGCAGTGGTGGCCAACCTAGAAATGACCACCCCGGACGTGTGCATGAGTCTAGGTAAGTCCATGTTCGATCAGCAGTGTGTTTTTATTTTTTTCTTGATTTGATTTATGGCAGAGTGGTCCAACCTTTTGGCTGCCCTATTTGAGAAACGTCCGGGGTCCAAATTTGAAATATTGTTGTGTTTCCCTTCCTGAAGCATAACATAACATTTATGGATTATGGAGTGAGCGGGTTGGCTGGCTGAAATGGAGGGTGGGGGCACGCCGCCAGTTGGACCATGCTGATTTATGGTGTAAATCAAGCACTTTGAGGCATTCTCCCAACGTGAATGACATTTTATTAAATGTAAGGATTATTATTATATACAGGCCAAATTTATAAAGCGTAGCAGATTGTGGATTGCAGACTGTGATTATATTGCTTTTATTAAAAATATCAACTTCAATTCTGATAACCGAGCACAAAAAATAATGGTACTGTATGGTATAAGTTTAAATCAATTGTAGTTCATTGTAAAAATAAAAATCAATTGTAATCAAGGTAGTTAATTAAAATTGTAAGATTTTTTTTGAAAGACATAATTCAGGTCATTGATAATCATCCATGACATAATGGAAGTTAGTATTTTTATTTTAAAAATAGACTGTGTGTGTTATAGTATGTTGTGTTTACCTTCAGTAAAATACCTGGAACAAGACAGAAATAGAAAATTCTTTAGAGATTATGAATAGAGATTAAAGTGCCAAAGCTTTGAACTGAAATCCGATTGTGTCTCAGCATGTGATCAGAGTATCTAACTTGAGTGTAAACCCTACAAACGATTGAGAGGCTACAGAGGAGGGCAACCAAAATAATTGAGGGGAAGGAGGGATTGGACTACAAGGAGTGATTAGATAAGCTGGGTATGTTCACACTGGAGAAGAGAAGTTTGAGGGGCGATATGATTGCGGTCTTTAAGATTCTGAAAGGAATAAATAATGTAAACCACGATAAGCTGTTTTATCTTATACTGAACAGTAGAAACAGGACATGGCCTGTGATTGAAAGGGGGTAAATTCAGAACAAATCTGTGGAAACACTACTTCAATGAGCGAGTAAACTTATGGAACAGGCTCCCTAGGGAGACGGTGGAAGCAGAAAATGTTGTTTGTTTCAAGAACAAATTAGATAGATTTCTGCTAGAAAATAATGTCTCGAGATACAATATGTCAAGCAACTGCCAGGATGATGGAAGGTGAACTAGATGGAACTTGGTTTTCTTTTGCCTCGCAAATTCTTATGTAGGATAGGTATTATTTTGTATTTTATTTTGTACAATTAGTACTTTGTTGAATGTAGATCAGGAATTAGTCTTTGCTAAACCTTTGAATCAGAAAAAAGTTAGCTTTTTAAAGTGTTCTTCCACATCAACATTAACTTTAACACAAAAGACTTGTCTTTAAAGTAATCATTCTTGAATTTGATATTGTGCCTTTCACATCGGGAGGCCGCTTCAATATGCTTCATAGCATTTTCTGCAAAGTGCATTTACACGTTATCAATGGACTGACTGATTGCTTTACTGTTGCAAATGATTATTCTCGTGGAAGCTGCTGATAGGTGTAAAAATGTAAAGGACAAGTTAGAATGATCTGTGACTACAAATATCTATAAGAAATGTAATATACACATCATTGTCACCCATGTGAAGCATTAGAAATTTTTTGATAAGTTGCATTGTAACATAGATAAATTACAATTACGTTCACTATTTTCAGAACTGAGAACTTTAATTCACTTCTCTTTAAAAGCCACAAATCTGATAGGAATGTCAGGATAATTTGCTGGGAATAGGAAGAGGAATGGAATATTTAGCTTGTTGAGAGAAGGCTTTGATTGTCAGTATTGTAATTTGAAAGCTGCTTTTGCACTGTATTTAAAGTTGACAAACTTGATGTAGGAGCTTCAATATAGCTCAATTGGGACACAAGACTGCAAGTGTGTAGTACTGTACTTTTGTAAAGTGGACACGGAAGCAGAGCATCCCATCACTGTACTGGAATGTCAGCCAAGACTATGAGCTCCATATCCTAACATGGGTCTTGAATACTTAGGACTTAGAGGCAAGAAGCTACCAATTGAGCTTTGCTGATATCATTAGAAACATAACTTTTTTTAAGCCATATACTCCCAAGGGCTCTTAACAGTTATAAATCAGTCATTATTCTTGTAGAAAAAAGTGGGATTTGTGCATTTCAAGGTTTTTTAACATCCACCTAAACAGGTAGAACATTGGTTACATTTCTCATGTAAACACGAGAACCTCCAACAATCCAACATTGCCTAACACTGCACTGCACAGCCTTGAAGCCATCTACTGACTCAAAGACAAGAGTACTATCAAATGAGTCAAATTTCTAGTCCCATGTTAGCACATGGAGCTCATAGTCCAGGCTGACATCCAGTACAGTGCTGGGATGCTCTGCATTGTTGGAGGATGAGGTGTTAAACCGAGGCCCCATTTGCCTTTTCAGGTGGATTTTAACGATCCCTTGTCCTATTCAAAAGGGAGTTCCCTCAGTGTCCTGGCCAACAATCCCCCAGATAAAATTCATCATTCCTTCATGGTTGTTTATTGACCATTGCTGTGTGCAACTTGGTTTCCATGTTCACCTTACAAAAATACAGTCACTACACTTTACAGTAAATCCTATGAAGTACTTTGAGATGTCCTCCTGATGTAAAATGCAAATATTAATATTATATTTTAATAACCAAAATCATTTTGCCTTAAACAAGGCTTGGTACATTATGGTATAGTGGAAGAGATATTGGAAGATTGATGCAATGTGAATCATCTCTACCATTCCATGAATTTGCAAGTGTTGCCTACAGTCTTGATTCATTGGCTAGTAGTGCCATGTCAGCTTATCTGCAGGGTCCTGTTGGAATTCCTTCAGTGTCTTTTCATTGCAAAGCTGGCAGTAGCATTGCATTTATTTAAAGATCTACATGTGTAATTAATACTGCTACAATTCTTGGCAGTCATTTGGCTGAACCTGAATTGCCTTTAGCATTTTGTCGAGCACGTGGGATTATTAAATGAGGACAGTTGCTTGTTGCATACCCCAGTAGGCCTGATTATTCACTATCCTGTGTGGAAAATGAATCCCAGGTAAGGTCTAATGAGATGTGGAGGTATTCTTTCCTATTATTTATAATGGGTGGGGCAGAATTTTGTCTCCAGTTTATAGCAGAAAATATGCCTAAGGTTAGATCAACAATCTGTAGGAGGAAGATTGAATTCATTGAGGCAGTAAGAAAAGTCAGAAATATAATTGATAAATTAAATACTCAACATTAAATACATCCAAAACTCCAGGCAATAACCTGAGAAATAATTTAGATGCAATTTGGAAAACTCTAGTATGACTGAGTTTCAATCATTCATTACACTCTCTGGTTATGCAAATAAATGGATACAGTGTGGGTGATGGTGTTAGTGTGTCAGTACATTGTGAAGGATGCAAGTTCAAACTCTCATTTCCTCATTCTGGATCGTAGCAAATGCCCATTTTACATTGAATGAGTGTTTTATGTTTTGAGAGGCCATCCTTCAGATGAGGTAGAAAATCAAAAGTCTCATCTGCCTGATCAGAGATAAGGTCTGGTCATCAGCTCGCATGTTAATGAAGCGCAATCAGGATTTTTTTGCTGATAATGTGAATCTTTTAGACCATTTAAACAAACCTACAGAATATTGCTAGGATTTTAGCATTGGCTAAAATGTTTCTCTCCAAATTCCATTATTGCTTCCACAAGTATTTGGGCAGAATTTTTCCCCTTGAATAAGGTGGCGCATAAAATTGAAGTATTATTTTAATAACTAGTTTATAGTAAATGGTTACCAAATTGATTGAGCTAGCACGGAGATTGTTCCATGAGAATTGTGCTGTATTCCTCATTGCACTCACAGGAAAGTTTATTACAGCATTTATTGTGAAATGGTAAAATGTAAGTCAATTGTCACTTTAGTTCTGAATTTGATTCTTTTACTACTATTTACTGCAGCAGACACTCTATTTTAAAAGGCATTCTGTAGCTTTGTGTAATTTCACTCTACTAGTAGTGGAGATCTTAAATCATATCCTAGCAACCCAACAGCAGTGCACAAAGAAGAGTTTTTCTGAAAAGTGGCGCCTTACTGGTGCAGTAACAAAAAACAGTCTCACTAAATGGATCATAAATGTTACTGTAGCCTTGGAGCTAGAAATGAATAGTGTTGATGTTTTCTCCTAAAGCCATTTTGAGTTTCTAAAACTCAAAACTATATTTTCTGACAAGTTCTACCCACACATTTCATACAC